ATATATATGCATATATATATATATATATATATATATAGACAAATAGTTATTCAAAGTATATCAATGTATAATGAATTCTATAAATCAATAGTTAAACGTCAATATGTTTATAGAACAAATTAGGCCTAGTCTTACGTAAGATACGGTAAATTATACCGTAAGCATTCATCTATGATTAGAGAAAAATAAATAAAGTTTAATGTAACTCTTCAAGAAAGCAATTTATGGTAATATTTAATTGATAACAGAATGCACACATGTTAATGGATACAAACTTAATATGTTATAAGCCTAATCAGTCAAAACATGTGTTATATATATGACTTTTCTGATATATATTGCATAATAATTCATACCGTTATTCGAATTATGGGGTTTTCCCCATATTCGTATAAACATATTGTAAAAATATAATATCTTGTATACTATACAGTATATATATATATATATATATATATATATATATATATATTCAAGCACTGTTATTATATATCTATACACATTAGATAGCAATCCTGAAAGATGGTTTAGAGTTTATCGTATACCTATATAAATCATATAAATAGAATTATATAAAACCTACATAATTATAAATTTAGAATGGTAATACACCTCCATCAGTGATATGTAAAAGTGGAAAATAGTTTTGCATAGTGCAATATATATATATATACACAATTATATATATGCCTATATCATAGTAAAATACAGTTGATACGGAACCAACGTGTATCCCTATGTATGTATATATATATATTGTATGAGCATATATTTTATTATATATGAATTGCATTTACAAACAAATTCGTTTTATACGGTATATTGTCTAAATAAACATATGTCTATAAATATTACAGTAAAAATATTAAATTACAAAAGCACGATGCGTATTAATATGTTTACACGGTTCAGTAGTAGGAAAATGTACTACTAGTACTATATACGTACCTGAGGTAGTCTTTTTTACAATATGGTTTTCCGTCTCGAACAAAACAGGTACAAGTCTCGTCCAGGTAGGTATCGCAGTCGGCACACTTCAAACAGCGGCCGTGCCACTCTAGATCAGGGGCAACGCGCAATATATACTGGTCATAAATCTGCCCCCCACATCCTACGCACATGGATATCCTCCTATTTGATCCAACTCCAGATGCCTCTGTCGAACGAAAGAAAATATTTTAACTAATCAACACATTGAATGCGTTCATCTGAAGAAATACCTTCTTTAGTTTGTTACGAAAACTGATATTTAGAGCATAGTTAAAGTTAAGAGCAATGAATTAAGATATACACGTGTGGTTGTAAATATAGGCCCTACATGTACATAGTATATATCATTAGTTATAAACAATACGCTCCATGCGCTTATAACAAAGACGTTTTAATTACAACAATATATCACTTAATTGACAAAAGTATGTGAACTGCAAAAAGAAAGAATTAAATTAATTAGAGTGATTAAATAACACGCACATATATCAGATTGATTTAACTAAATACCTTTATTAACTTGGCTGGCCTTGATTGCAACTTGTGCGTCGTCAAGCGTCATGTTTTAAAGTGAAGAAAACCGAAAAAAAAAATGTTCGCGTAGTAAAAATTGTGCAGATTTTTTGAAGCTTTAGTTACGCACGGTATTTTGAAGGCATTAGCAACATGAGTTTTATGCGTAGTTCCCAGAGCGTAGCTCCCACAGTACGACAAGAGTTCGTTCTGTATTCATCCACCAGATTCCCTGTCTCAGTATAATGCTTACAATTTTGTGTTGATGAATTTACACGCACGGGAAGCACCATAGAAAATTCATTGCTTCGTTGCACAGCGGCCCCTGATTGGCCAGCACGTAAATTAGTCGTTCATTGCAGTGACTTTTTCGTTCTCATCAAAGTGGGGGCGATGTTTACCTAGTCGATCGTTTTCTTTGATTACCGTAGTGGTCAAACCTATCGACTGTTCTTGCGGGAATATTTGTTAGCGTTTTATAAACCACTGTCATGTATAAGACACACAATATAGTAATATATTTTTCATCTTCTTTTTTGGATGTTAAAGACGATAAAAAAGTAAAATATCATAATTAGGCCTATGTTCAAAATTACAATACAAACGTTATTATTTTCACAGGTAATATTAGGCCTTTATGGTTATGGTTATGGTTTTATATTTATATAATGCTATTTTTCCTTTTACTTCAAGTAATACATACGATATTATATTCTGTAACAATATACAACTACCTTTTGAGGTAAACATTTATGGTACCACAATCTACTTAAATAAAAGATAATTTTACGATATAATTTTCTCACTGATAAAACAAATACCCTATACTTATTGGCAGTCTATAGAAAGATTGGTATTTATTAACTTCATTAATTCTACAATGTGCATAGGCTTATAACGGACATGCTTCTATTATAAATGCAATGGCAGTGTTAAATACACATATAAAATAAAAACGTATAGGCCTATGCGAAAATAATGGCATTGACATGATTTATGCCAATTGTAAAAACATGTTTCGAACATAGATTTTTATGCATTGTTCCCGAATGCCAAATTATAGAAAAATGTTTTTAGGAAAGTGTTTAAACGGGATATTTTAATTACCATACGTACTTAATGATATAGACCTACTATAGGCCCTTTTGAAGCCATGTGACAAATTCTGGAAAACTCAATAATACAATAACATTGAATTGTTTTTTTAAAAGGTCATTTCAGGTATCAACTTCCAGGTAGTCACGGAATCGAAACAATCTATTTTAGCTGATTTACGTAATCTTTTACTTTGAAAATTCAAAAATCGACAGCCAGGGTCTATAGACCTAACACGTACGGAGGCTTAATTATGAAACGTACGGGTACACATCGATTATTTAACGAGAACATGTAGGTAAATAAAATATTGAATTTTATTTTTTAGTAGTTAAAATATTGAATTTTATTTTTTAGCCTCAACATGGACAGGCTTATAATAGATAATCTTTAATTTATCGAACAAGGTGAATTTAAAAAGACTGAGGCTTATTCTAAAATAAACTAAAGTGAGTTTTCATCCGTCAAATTACTATGTGTGTGTATACAAGAGGTCGACGAACCTTAGCTTAAGTTTCTATAGTTTTTTTTATTTATGTGTATGTTAAGTATACAACAGACACATCAACCTTTGTTACCTTAGGATAAAATTGATATTGAAAACCACGAACAATTTGAACAATAGGCCGACCTTATCTCTGCCTCAAGATGGCGCTGTTGAGGTTTAGCTTAAGTGTAAATAATGGTATCGTATTTATTGTGGTAAATATTTTTGTGTGTGAAATAAATATGATAATTTTGTTTTTTCATATCACGTTTAAAAAAAATTAAAATTAAAAGGAAAAAAGATTCAAGTGATAAAGTATTTACATTTTATTTCCATTTCATCGGTTTAAGTGGCATCCCATTTCAGACATTTATACATAAAAATGCAATAATGGAAAATGACCAATGAGATTATCAGCATGTCCAAAATCTCCCGCATCCTATCTACATTAACAAAATCAAAATCACACCAGTAATAATTCTTTATTAAAACTGATGGTTTATTAATGCATATTTCTTCTTAACATCGTGTACGTTATGTTGAGTAGGCCTACTTCTATGCTTTTACGCAAAAGGTACCGGGCCAGATTCTATTATTTTTTAGTATACATTTTAAGTATATTAGCATAAATAAATAACGTAACACCTCGAATTGAAGCCCTGAAGTTCTTTCTATTTTTGCGAACTTTGGATGGGTGTCTTTTCGAGACTACATTTGCAAAGTAAAGAGGGGGGGGGGGCTTTTTTTCATAATGATTGCCGTAAATTTTGGGAATTTGCACTATAAAATACTAAATAAATAAATCTGTATTAACTGGCATTTTATTACCTAAACTACTGTATAAACCAAGCTTGTTTTTAATTTATTTTGTTTTTTAAAAATTCATTTATAGTGTATGTATTGTATTATTTCGAACAGAAGCCCATGCTATCTTGAAAAGAAGCCATGATCTTGTTTTCGAGATGGGCTTTTTTTGAGGATAATTTTTCAAGAGGGGCTTCAATTCGAGATGGGCTTCTTCTCGATATGTGTGTGTGTGTATATGATGTATATTCGAATTGCATCAGAAACCAATGTTGTTCACGCATGTACAAGCGTATGAAAATGTTGTTGCTTCTAATCAGGTTTGAATTCCCAACGAAGCCCCAGTCACCCTGTTGGTTAAGACGTTTGCAGACAGCAGGATTTTCCGTTTCCGAATTCCAGTTTATACACACTCGCAGATCATCCTCTTCTTTAACATTCAACATTTATATATAATTATAGCATTACCGCAAGTCGGTTTAGAGTTTATTTCTATATTGTACTATGATTTATTTATAAAAAGTGTTTTTCGGATATCCTGTCTTGTCGTTTTAAATACTGAAGACGACGGCATACCATAATATTGATCTCTGTTTTTTGCAATGCATCAAGTGTTGTTTCCCACAATCTAAATCCTATCGGATTTGATATTTTAATATAAAACCCCAGTGGCCCTGTTGGTGCGTCTACCACAGGGTCCGGCTCAGACAACTT